AATTCTTTTACCTTTATATTTCCATTTCTAGGAAATTTCAAAATTTAATTATTTTCAGAAAGAAACCACCGTGAATGTAAAAAGAATACGATTCAGTTCGAATAACATTCGAAATTAGAAATGTTTGAAAGTCTTGAAGGTTTTGAAAGTCTTAAAAGCCTCGAAACTCTTGAAACTCTTGAAACTTTTGAAAGTCTTGAAAGCTTTGACTGTCCGTGTGTTTGAACGAGTTGGTACGTTCATAATAAAAAAATTAAGATATTTTCTTGAAAAAGTACCGAAATCTTTGAAAAATCATCTCATTTCCTTTACAGCTACTTTATAAATAATGCATTACACTTCTGCAGAAAATAAGCTAAAGTCATAATTAAATTCTAGACAATACAGTTCTTTTATTTTTAAAGACAGTAATGTTTCAAGCTTCTCAGACTTCCAAAACTACCAAATCTATTCGTCCATTAAAACAACTAAGCATCTCAAAGTTTCCAAAAGTTTCAAAAGCGTTTCAACCAAGTACCGAGGCAATTCGAAATTCTATAGCATTGTTCGAAAATTTGTGAAACAGGATATTCACGGATACACCCGTCAGTATCTCAGTCAGATGATTCCATCTGGAATGGGGTAGACAGTTTTTCCAGTGAAAAACTGGAAAAATGTAGCGCGAGATCAAAAAGCGATTTTTTAATAAAAATATTTCTCATCCGACAGAGGATTACATTCTATTCAAAATTTAATAAAAAAATATCACTGCTGACGCGGTCAGTGCCTATGAAACTGAAAAGGAAATATGGCAAAATTATTTTTGAAACACATTTTCTACATTTGAATTTTTCTAGATTTTCATGTAACGCTTGACGTATGCATCCTTCAAAGAACAAGAGGAATTGATCAAGCCGTAAGGAGGAATCGAGCGGGTAATTTGAGCAGGCGTCGGAGCGGGAACTAGGGTGGAAACGAGACCGAGTCTATCTCTCTTGTAGACGTTGGATTTTCCAGGAGGGCGTCGATGAGCCGAGGACGATCGCGGCTATTCCATTTTCCATTCGAGTGGATCCGCTCGCCTAATCGATAGTTACAGCGCGGACACGCCCGGCGCTCGCCGCGATAACACGGCAGGCGCGAGTTGCAAGCGGCCAAGCAGATGCAAAATCGTTTCGCGACGTTATCGACGGTCGGCTGCCAGCCACGATAGCGGTTATCGGTGCCATTTCGCGGATTTAATGGAAACGCTGGCGCGAAACCGGAGGAATCGCCGGCAAATCGCGACTCGGACCTTTCACCCCTTATCTCTCATATACGCTGCTTTTCAAAAATATTTTCGTACTTTTCCGTCTAAAGGATCGTACGCTTTAAAGAGCTCCCAAAGAATTTATAGATCTTGATCAAGATCTATCGTACCAGCAGTTGGTATCGTGATCCTTTAGCTGAACGCCTCGCGGCTTTATCGTTTGTTCCGTCTCGTTACGCTTCGAACGAATCGAAGACCGCGGCATTCATTAGCCGTTCGAACGACAAAGCGCGAATAATTGATGGATTTGAACGATCGGTACACATTACAATTGATTCGAACCACTGCCAGCTACCTGAAGAGCCGTTGAACCGGCTTGTTCGACATTCACGCGGATATGGATGGAATTCCTCTTCTTTGTTTTCATTTTTTAGTGTCGGACGGTGATGAGCAATCTGCGGTCCTGCCAATTACTTATTTGCGGTTTGCTCGTGGAAGTTGTTTGTACGACCCACTTTACTCGTATATGACATCAGACGGACCGTACGAATCAGATTATACTACCTGACAAGTTTTCAAGAGGATATATATTTGATACTAATAAGTAGCAATTTCTTTTTATTGGACTTTTAATTTTGGCCCACTGTGAAAAAGGTTACTCATCACTGGTCTATATAGCAGTAATAGCAATGAAAGTACTTGGAGTCTTTCAACTTTCTGACGGAACTTTGCCAATTATAACGGCTGTAATTTGTGACGATTGGGTGGAAGGGCGATTCCATGGGTAAAAAATGTCGTTAACCGGGAATGGGGGTTGTTTCGCACAGTTATGGAGAAATGAGAGTTTGGAAAGGTATTTCTGGAAGCTGTAAATGTGAAAGTTATTGGGCTAGATTATATTGGCTCGTACTTGGAGCGATGAAAGTAGTTGTAGAAATGAATTTAGGAGATAATTTAAATGCAACTTTTCATTGCTTCTAAAAGTGTCAAAGATAGGAATGAAGGTTCTCTTCCTTTCAATTAATTTTTTTCAACTTTCAATGCATTGTATTAAATTGTTAATATAAAAAACAAAATTTTATGATCTATTTTGTCATTAAATATAAACTCGTTGAGAATTGATAGAAACTTTACAACATTCATAATATTATTAATATAAAGTTTCTTGAATTGATTTTCTGGCAACTCGTACCTCAACTACTCACGACGTACTTGAAGTTACAATAATATTCTTTACAAGCTTCAGCAACTTGCTGAAAATTTCAGTGAGACACCGGTTCATTAATTCGGAGCGAAGGAACGTCAACCTGACAACGGTCAAAGTCGATCGATGAGGCTGTCGCAGCATCGAAGCTCGCCCTTTTAAACTGTTTTTGTACAGGAAATGACATTTTCCCGATTGAGTCATCGTCACATTCAATCTTTCTTTTTCGAAGCACCCTTGTATAAAATATTTATACAACAATTGCTTGTAATCAAAAGCTCAGCTAGAATCATGTTCGCCGTTCGTCGAACTTCGAGGGGTGTTTTCATCCCTTAGAAATCTTTTTCGGCAAGATTTTCTTATCAGAAGATTGAAAGTTTTCCATGCGATTATAGCTTGATGGCCAGGGGATATATTTACGATCCACCGTCGGCCGATAATCGTTTAAACGGCGATTAAACGAGATGGTCGGCGCGACCCGGCGCGGTCCAGCGAGCGAATAAATTCGGCGTGGCGAGCAGGAACACGCGTGGCGACGCATTCGTTCGCGGCCAAATTACATGCTCGTTCGCGGAGTAATCGATGTTTCTAGTTGGCGGTGACACCGTTAAAACGACTCTCGTTCCGCTGACGTTCGAGGGTAGAAATAATTGGTGGAACTCGCACGAACGTTTCTATGAATTTATGAACAAGCCGGTCGCGGCGCGCGCGCGGGGACACGGTTATCTTACGCGTGATACCGTCGCGTTTTCGCAGCCAATTAAAATTATATCGCAGCAACAAGTCACGTGTAATTGTCCCGGGGAAAATGAGATCGCCGTGAGGGATTCCAGGTGATGACAGTAATGAAAGAAATTTATTGAGACGAACGAGCTTGGACGTTCGCAACAATCGCGCCGTGTCGTGACGTTTCTCGCGCGAAAAATATTACTCTCTCTATGATATCGGGAAGCTGGGAATTCTGCAGTGGTACGAGTCGAAGATTGCAACTCCAGTCCTCCTCGTTTTCCTTCCTGTTCTGAAACGATCGGGACAGGGTAATTTATGGAGAAGATGGAGAGAACTGTGCGTTCACGCGTTGACTACCGTTCCATTCTATGGAATAATTTAAGAATAAAGGAAGGAACACGATTCTCAGAACTTCTACAATTTGTACTTGAGATTATAAATAGTGAGTTAAGCGACTAAACTGAGCAATTTGTGTTTAATATCTTGAATAATTCATGTTGCCGTATGTCGTATTAATTATTGATATTTCTACTGCGAGTAAGAATTTCAGTAAATGGTACTGCGGAATCGCAATTAATTTAATCGACTAAAAGAGAAAGAAAAGAAGAGAATTCTAGGTAGAAAATTGGGTGATTAGATTGAAACAATTTGTTTTTAATTTCTTGAATAATTGATATTAACGAGTGTCTGACCATCTATTGATATTTCTACTGATACTGTCAACCTGTTAGTAGTACTGTAAAGTTGCGCTCAATTTAAATGAATAGAAAAGAAATAAAGCAACAACGAAACTGATAAACACTGTTAGAATTACAATACAAATTTTCTAAAGTAGCAAAATGAATAATTAAATCAAAAAATTTGTAAATTTTTTGAATAAAACATATTATCGTGTGCCTTGCTACAAAATTATTTATATTTATTTTAGAACAGAAATTTTAGATTTTCATTCAGAGAAATATTAATAATTCAAATTATTTTTAATAAAAGCAGTATTTAAACAAATTTTATTCCTGACAATCTGCTTTGCGTACGATTAACGACTTCTATTAACCTAAAGGTATAATTTAACTGAATTATAGCATAAATTAATAAATATCCAAACATCTGTTAGCAAGCGCAATTGAACAAATAATTGTACTATGATAATACTGAAAATTATTATAAGTTGACGTTCATATTTTATGCATTCGATTTAAATTGAACGTACAATTAGTTTCACGAAGAAACAGCCAATATGTGCATACATATTAAATTACAGTGAAATTAAGGTTTCATAATAAACGAAAAGTGTTATGTATTCACCACGAAATAATATGTCAAATAATTTCAACGCGCAGGTTTAAAAATCATTATAATTAATTCCATTTATGCAAGTCAAATTCCACAGGTTATTTCAAAATTTTTTAATTTTTCCAATTTTCCTTTTAATTATTCAATTACCGTCAGTCACCCACGACCACTAATGATCATTTATAAACTCTCCTACAATAATAATTCGAGGCCGATATAAAACAATCAAACAATTGGTGGCAAACATTTGCCTACGATTTGTTACGTACGCACAATTCGTCCGTGATAAAATACTCGCACTGTTTGCAGGTTTAATTGTAACCGTTTGCATGCCCGTTTCCCGTACACCGGAAACGTTGTTTCCAGATTAATACGATTTCCTCTGTCATCGGGCAACAGCGTGTCATCGCGCGATAACTTTTCAGTTTCAATCGCGAACCACCCCATGCTTGTTTTCTCATCGATCGATCCATCGGCCAACCATCGAACGTTCCTCGTACAATGTCATAGTTACACTTTGATGCTTATGTTTGGTGTTATGGCATCGCTATGGCAACTCGATCTAGGTACCATTCCAAGCTGTATTTGCTTTACTTGTGAACACGTTCGTTCGCGTAACGTACGGTTTCCTGTCGAACAGCGAACCTAATCAATCGGTTCATTAATTAGATCACTCGTGTATATCATTCTATTAAAAGAAAAAAAACTAACTGATCTATGGTGGAAGTATTTTGAACTGAGTGCTGGTAGTGAATCTGTTAATTTTATCAAGTAATCTTTTTTGATATTTCATTCCAATGTTAATATAATATTTGTAAATATAGCAGAAATAAGAAAATGAAGCAAGATTACGCATCTCATTCTAGGACACACCATTTGCTTGGTTTATAGAAACCATATAATCCCAGCGAAGCATATTCTTCAACGGGTACCCCCATAAAAGACCAGGCGACTTGGCCGATGGTCTTCCAATCCATAGGATAGCAAACACAGTAGTAAGGTAAATTTGTATGCGGACAAGGTACAAAGCTCGGATGCAAAGCCTAGAGATTCAAAAGTTTTCCTTTACTCGGTCGGCTGGTGTATAAAAATCTCGTTTGCACAGCAAGGTAACTCGAGCGAAAGCCACGGGGAAGACTAGAGAAAGGTTGAAGAGAGGAGACAAAAGAAGCAGAGTACAAAATGCCAATTGATTTTTACTATTTTCCACCGAGCGCACCGTGTCGGTCGGTTTTACTGCTGGCAAAAGCGATCGGTGTTCACTTGAACTTGAAAACGGTCAACGTGTTGAAAGGTGACCACATGAAACCGGAATTTCTAAAGGTATGATTGTTAATTTCATTAGAAGAGGAAATTAAAATTCATTAAAATTTATTATTTCAAAAGACAAGAAGTCTAAAAATTCTGTATTCCTGTATAATTTTCGTTTCTTAGATCAATCCACAACACACAATACCAACCATACATGACAATGGATTCATTTTGTGCGAAAGGTATGTAATCATTGTAATTACAATGTTACTATTTATTATAATATATTGATATTTACAGTCGACCAATAATGGGATATTTAGTGAGCAAATATGCCAAAAACGATTCCTTGTATCCGAAAGATCCAAAAAAGAGAGGATTAGTCGATCAGATGCTGTATTTTGATGCTGGTAATCTTTATGAGAACATCCTTATCTGTTACGTATGTATATTAAAGTATTTCTATTAGAAATTTTATTTCTATTCAAATGAAGCTACTCGAGTACCTATTCAGTTTCCAGTGGTGTTTGCAAAGGATAATGTGATACACGAAGAAAGACAACAAGCCGTAGAAAAGTCGTGCGAAACGTTAAACACGTTCCTCGAAGGGAAAGAATTTGTAATTGGAGATGATTTGACCATCGCTGATTTTACCATCAGTACGACTATCTGCGTTTTACAAGTAAGTATTCATAGATATATAATATCGTACTAACAATAAAGAATTGAACGAGAAAATCGTATGGCACACACGACGATAAAAATGTCCAACCCCTATTTTATGCCCTTGTCGGAAGTAAGCGTGGAACGTTTTTGTGATAACCGATTCATGAAAATTTCAACTTTTAATTTTTTTAATCGATCCTTGGAAATATTGCAATAGCAATTATATTCACAACGAAACGGGCAATAAATTTTGTTGACAGTGTTTCGACTTCGATATCGGCCGGTACGATAATGTGGCGATGTGGTACAATCGTTGCAAGCAACTTTTGGATAAATTCGGTTTCGACGAGGTGCACGCTACAGGGACGAAGTTGTTTACCGAATGGTATCGGGCGAATGTACAAGAATCCAGTTAAAACAGAGGCTGCGAGCAACGTCTCGTCGGTGTACGACTATAAATTTCTTGTTGGTGCACCGACGATGATCGAGATTAGACACGAAAGCTATTTAGATAGCTGTAAATCATCGTTTCGTTTAACCGAAGCTTCGTCTAGTTTGAAATAAAGTTTAAAGCCCAGAAATTTCCTATATCTACGCAGAGTTTAGAATTCTGTTGAACTGAATTGTAGCATTAATTAGCAACAGAATAACGATCACAGATATTGATAAACAGTGAAATAGATAGAAATATTTTTATATAAATATAAAAATTGTATATTTCTTCTACCATATCTAAACCTATACCATGAATTTTGTTAGTGTTAATGCAAATAATAAAAATCTGAGAATTGAAATTATAAATATTTGAAAGTAAAAATTGGATTCATGAGGGTTGAATCTATATCTTTGTTCTCTTATTTCTGTACATTTCTATCCCATAATATAATTAATTTATCAGAATCCGCAAATCCTTATGGTATATCAAAGGATCCACAGCAACGATGAATCGAATGGCTGTCCATGTTTATCCCGTTGGTCAATTCAAAAGCAAGCGACGTTGCTGTTAGCATAGCATTTATAAAGAGACTGTACAGCTAACTTGGTTAGACAGTTTGCGATTATCTCGTTGTGGACCCTTGGAGAGTACGTAGTTACGTTTGCTTTTGCGTTCTCCGCCACCCTTCTCGGTTATCTGTCGCAAATCATCCGCTCGAAGTTTGGAGCACACTGGCGGCGAGTTTCGGCTGTTAGAATGTGTTTTCCGTTTGTAATAGAATCTGTCGATCGATCGTAGTCGGATGTTGTTTCGAAAACCGCGGTTCTATTGACCGTTTGGCGGGAGAGAAGTTTTGAGAACGAAAGAAATATTGAAATGAATCACGGGGAAATCAACGCGTTATCAATATAATTGATATTCATACGTCAAATCCCGAGAATTTATAAGGCAAACGGTAGTTTCAACAACCTTTTCGTTAATTCAACAATTAGTGGCTAACGTTTGAAACTGTTAGATGCGATAATGGTCAAGAGGTGATGAATTTGAAAATTGCCAATGGGTTTCTATTAAACCGCTAGTAGCGGCCCTTGTGTTGCTTTTATAGCTGCTGCGGTCGGGGTTGAAATGAATTTCAAAGACATCAAGGTGATGAAGAGTGATCAATTAGACGCGAAATATGTGAAGGTAGAAACGATTAAAATACCTGTGGTAATGGTAGAACCACGAATTACCACTTCTCGTTTAACTGCATAATATTGTAGAAATATAAGGTTAAATATCTAAGAAGAAAAAAGGGAAATGCAATGAAATTCCTTTCATCGCTAACAGAAATTTGTAGCGCGCCAACTTTGTAAAAATATTCCACCTCTTTTCCTAAGGGATTTTTTTCAAAGAGCTACACATACAAAAATTAATATTATGAAAATGGAAATCCTTTTCTATATTTCTTTTTTTAATTTAATCGTACAATGAATAGCTAGTGAGTTCCTGGAATGCAAGGACATTCTAAGTCCCTCGTGGATTCATTGAGTACTCACGTCGTCCTCGTTATACCACTTTCTCTTTGTTTGAACAACCGTGAAGTACCTTCTCTTGCACTGTTTATTCAGTGGTCAACTTTTGACACGAGTCCTAAAGGACGTCTTAAGTAAATAGAAAAACATCACTAAACGGCTTATCGACAATAGATGTTCCCTTAATCGAGAATCTACTACGCTATTATATTCAAACAGAAAAATAAAATTTAATTTTCTATCTTCTAATGGGTAATAGGAAATTTCTCGAGGAATTTCAATCATCCTTGACAAAAGGATAACTGCAACAATATTCCTCATACACTGTTATCCGAGTCTGAATTGCTTCGAACAATCAATAACTCTCAAAAAGTTTGTTCCAACGAAACCACATCCAAGCTGAGCGTTCCAGGAAACAAACAGATCATGTAAAGTTAGCCTCCCAATTTCCCCCTGTTGTAACGCTCCGAAACAACCCGGAAACTCTCAATTAGACTTGCACGGTTCTAAGTCACTTCCGTTAAACACGAAGTTCCCACTCAGCACGCATTATTCTCGTGTTCTAGGAAATTTGCGTCTATTAATTTGTGAGCTGGTTGCACAAAATTTTCCTAATTGTCTTCGCAAATCTTACATTCGATAAAATCGAAATTTTTAACGAAGAAATGATCATTTCTAAATTTGTTCAATTTAACTTGGAAATGTTCTCGGTTCACTGACTTCGCGTGTAAATGCTTCACGATGCTGAACCCGATATCCAATCGTGTGGGTATAAAATGAAAGTGAACAACCTACCTTGAACTTTCAATTCAAGTATTCCACCTGGATCGTAGGTTTATCCTTACCGAATGATTGATTATGCAATTTTTTTTTTTTTCAACGGAAACTTTGCAATTAATGGTGCACGCGAGCCCTACAAGGTGCGAACATAGAGGCTGTTCCATTAACTTCGTTGCAAAGAACTTGTCAGGAATATATTAGCGATTCCATTATATTTCGCGATGTAAAAGGATTGTTGAAAAATTTCTAATTAAAATTCGAAAGCCGTAACATAGGTTTTAGGTTTATAAATTTTGCTTGGAATAATTAAGCTACTCTACAGATTTAGATTAATGGATAAACGAAAGGAAATTCGAAACATTTCTCTTCGATTCAGTGTTCACGCAGCAAGTTAAAACAGTTTCAGTGGAATTCGAAGTGAAATTAACATTACCACCTGGTGATTCTGTAAATAGCGTAATCGGTATCGAGCAGGAGTTAATGAACCATATAATTATAGTACTTCTACCTACGTTGTTCTCGGTACAGCCAATTTCCCACAATGACTGCCATTCTTTTGATTCGATGTTCACTTGCTAATTATCATCGAGTTCTATGTTATTGCTCTTTAACTACAACCCTAAGATTCAACAAGTATCTACACCGTAGCTTTTACCTCTAATGGATTTTCAATTCTAATGGCACAATAACAGTTGCATCTTCATTGGAACAAGCTGTACCATCGAGATCAAAGCAACAACTCTTCTAAGTGTCTAAAATTGAATTTAAATTATCACTATTTCGACGGTTCATACGAGCCTCAGATTTGGCAATGACAAAACGTTATCGCAATTATCACACGTCATTTACCAAATCGGACGACTGTCGAATGATGATATGGAATCGCATCGAGTCAAATATTGCAGTATTTGTTATCATGTACATATATACATATAAATGAAAATTTATTATTCTGAATGATAGTTGCGATAAATTATTTATCGAAGAATAAATAAATTTGTTGTAATCTCAGAGGCAACTTATGCTTCTTGAAAAATACAGTTTTTTCAGTTGCGACACTTTTGAAATATATCTGCGATATTTTTGAAAATATGAGAAGAAAGAATACACGGCTCGTTTGTACGCATTTATCGATGATGCGTGAGGGTGTACGTGAGAAGAATTGCGGCAACGAACGATAATTTCAGGCTGGATGATGCAGCAGAAAGTAGCGAGACCTGAAAAAGCCCTCTGCTTCCGTTCCTGGAATTCCTGTTCGACGGTCTACGGCATTCCCCCGGTTCCTGAATTTAATTAACTCGCGGTCCATTTCGAGGATGCGGCCGCGTGGATCGCCCTCGAGGAATCATTGAAGGGAGGATAATGTTTTTACCGGGGAAATTGCGAGCGAGCAAAGTCGGGAAAGTTTCGCCGGGCCGCGCCAGTTTCCCTGGCCCGTTTTTCCAAGGATTTTCGACAATCTTTCGCCGTAAACCGCTAGACGTTTGTCGACGTTACTGGGCGCCGAGTTTTCGAGCTTGTTATTTTTCAAGAAAGCGCTTGGATCGTTTAGAAGAGGCTTCTAAGGACCAAGATTGTTTCGTTCCATTTTACCTTTTTTCCTCGTGGAAATTTTGTCTAAAAGAGGACTGTTCATTTGCTTGGTTGTTTTGCGAAATGGAAAAGAATTTTCTAAGTATTTTAAGAATAATCGTTGTTGATCTCGAGGACTTTCAGTATTGCATGTAATAGATAGCTAGACATCATTTTTGTAAACACTGGAGACTCGAAGAATCTATCGATTCTACTTTAAATAATGAGCTGACACATAAAGGAAAATCGATGAAACTGTTTCATGGAAACGTAACATGAATACGAACAACCATAACATTGCTGGCTACAAATTGAACGCCTACTTACAATATAGATCTACGAATGATAAAGGAAAAAACGAAAGCGTATCGTCATGCCGTTAACCGAGTGACGCATCTGCTGTTTATTGTTTCGTGATTCAGCAAAAAAACCCACCAAGGAACATTTTTCCCTTAAAAGGAATGCGGGGTAATCGATTCGATACATCTTTCTGTCCCTCTATCAAAAAAAGTATACACGTTACATAATAATTTAAAATACCAGGTATTTCATCATTTACAAAAGCCTTGTTTTGTAAATTTCTTGTTGGAATTTGGTTACAGGATACGATTATGGTTTTTAAACGGATTGAATTCGAAGTGAAAGTGACTAAGTCTTCCGTTCTGCCTTGAACGCGATCTCCAAGGTTTCAGAAGCGGGGATTATAAATTAATCGAAATTGAAGCAATAAACAGCCAAATTCGTTTAATTAAATGTTAGTATAATAATCAAGAATTCTAGTACCATAAATGGTATTAAGTCTTACAATTTTTCAAATCAAACTTATTAGAAATGTATTAAATTTGGAATTTTATATCTAAAACCAAGGAAAATATTCTGAAATTTCGACGAAGCGTGTCGTTTTATCAAGGAAATAAGCCTATACTTGAGTTCGCGACAATGTGAGACGACCATGAGGCCATAAACGAATCGACCCACTTTTCCATCGTTATTAGAATTCCAGGTGGTCGAGTGATTTTCACGAGGTATGCACCATGAAAGCGTGGAAATCCAAGGAGACCGCAAATCCTTCGATTTAACATCAGCGTTAGCCAGTTTATGCCTGCGGAAATGCAGTTCTAATCATTGGCGGCCACCAGAACATAGAACGCTCTTTTGGGAGGCACAGGCTAATTACAGATAGTGCCGAGGGATTGAATTCACCCACGAAAATCGAGTCGAGCAGCTGATTCGCTTCGAAAATTCGTATGCTCGTCAGACATTTCCAGCTTGTTCCACCGACATAATGGCAACAAATTGAATAATGCTACGCGGAGCGTGCTACGAGCGATGTTAAACGCTCAAGCGGGATCTATTGCGATTCGATCAACCGAATTTCCTCGTGGCTTACAACCGTCTGATCGACTTATAGAAGTTTAAAACAATATGTTGAAACTTGAATATTGGACGACAAATTTCGGTCCTTTCACT